GCATAGTGGCTAAGGCACTTGACTGCTAACCAGAAGGCTGGTGGTTCAAACCCACCAGCCACTCCTCGGAAGGAAGGTTGGGCTATCCTACTTCCGTAGTGATACTGCCTCGGAAGCCCAAGGAGGGGTCGCTATGAGTCAGGTCTGACTCGACGGCACATAACAACAACAACAACAACCATCTTATAGTCCCATCAGCGATGGATAAAGGTTCCCATCTCCCCACATTCTCACCAATATTATTTGTTATGTTTGTTTTTTTAAATCAGTGCCATTTTATTAAGAGGTGAGATGTTGCCTCATTGTTATTTTTGTTTTTCATCCCTCTAATAGCTAATCATTGTGAACAAAACTAACTCTAAAACAAGAATACAAACCCAATCACAAAATGGGCAAAGTACATGAACAGAACCTTCACCAAAGAAGACATCCAAGTGGCCAACAATCATAGAAAATAATCTTCTTTGGTGAAGGTTCTGTTCATGTACTTTGCCCATTTTGTGATTGGGTTTGTCGTCTTGTTTTAGAGTTATTTGCAGTTTTCTATAGACATTAGAGATTAGATTCTTATTGGATAGTTTCCAAAGATTTTTTTCCCCCCAATCTGTAAGTTGTCTAATACTTCAGTAGTCTTTTGATAAACATAAGTTTTCAGTTTAGAAAAGATGGGGTCCCATACATAGTTTTCTTCTTATGTGTCTTCCACGAATTTTAAGGTTTTAAATTGACCACTTAGGTCTTTGATCCATTTTGATTTGGTTTTTGTGTATGATATGAGGTATCCATCCTGTTTTATTTTTCTGCAGGTGCATCTTTAGTTTTGCCAGCACCATTTATTAGAGAGATTGTTTCTGCCTCACTGCATGGACTTTCAATTGTCCATAGAGGGCTGGGTTTAATTCTGGGCTCTTTTCCACTGGTCTGTGTATCTGTTGTTTTAATTACAGTGTTGCTTTAGGTAAGGTTGATATTTTCACTATGTTAAGTCTTCCAATCTATGAGCATGAGATGTCTTTACATTTTTGTAGGTCTCTTAGTATCATCTTGTAGTCCTGTTTTATAATTTCGTTGTATAACTCTTTTATGTCCCTGGTTAGGTTAATACAAAGGTATTTTATTGATTTGGGAGCTATTATAAATGGTATTATTTTCTTGAATTGC